CGTTTTTTATGACTGAAATGACTCGGAGTAATTAAGAAACAAAATTAAAAGTTAAACCTAGTTTAATGGCAGCACAAATAGTCTGCGAGTGCAGAGACAGAGGCGGACTCAACTCTACAAGGAAGTGGTGGAGAGAAGATAGGGAAGGAAAATAAGTCTTGTTTTCGGATGAAAATTAGATTTCGGGCCCTTTTTCCTTTGTTTGCAGGCATGAAAGGTCTATCTGGCAACGCCTTTCCCAAAAAAGGGTTATTAAAATAAGGCAAAAGTCACTCTAATGATTCTCAGACGGTCCAATTCGCCAGCGGTCACTGGCTCCTGTCTCTGCGCAGGCTATTAAGTGTATCGTCCAAAACTTACTGTTAAAACTACGAGCATATTCATTCCCAAACGCGGAAGGCATGCAAAATGTATACCCTTTGTATGAAACGATAATAATTTATCCATATAAGTTAAACTCGTCCCTGAAATCCCATTTTACTTGAATTTAAAAGCAGTTTTAATTAAGTGGCACAATTTGTGTCCCAATCAGTATAACATAAGTACAAAATGAAGACTGCAGACTGCTCTATGAGTGCATACATTGTTTTCACCATGCAAATGGGAACGTGACAACAATAGTCCCATTGACAAATGCATATGAAATAAATCATATATGAGAACTGCGGAAATAAAATCAAATGAAGAATGATCCTTACAGTTGTGAACGCAATTTATGCAATTGCGTAAGAGGCCTGAAAAAAAAAAATCAGGACTTGAACGGGATTTGAACCCATGACCTCGCGATACCGGTGCAACGCTCTAACCAACTAAGCTATGATATGATGTCACTGATAGTCCCATTGTTTTCTAACCCTGAAAACAATGGTCTGCATTCAGTCTGCAGTCTGCATTTTTTACTGTCCACCAATTTATACATTTAAGATCAACAAGACATGGACATATTCACTTTTTTTTTAATTTTATTTTTTCTTTCTTTATTGACAACAAATCAACAACATTAATACACAGCAGAAAGTAAAAGAACAAATAAGTAAATAAATATGTCCGTAAGTAACAAAACAAATTACAATAAAAAAGAAAAGTATTAGGAAAAAAAAACACCTGTCAGTTGCCACGCATATTTAATATTGTTTGCCACAATTTTCAATGCGATATTGTTCAAAAAGCTTACGTAAAAATTGATCTAAATTAGATTTCGTTACTATGTTCTTGCAAGTATACAAGTACTTCTTTTGCAGTAAAACCAATAGACGAAGTTTGCTTTGAGTTGAATTTGGCATTTGCATTGCATTGGAAGGGAGTCATTGAACGATTTGCTTGTTTGAAAGTTGTACGTTCTCTTTGTGATATTCATTAAACCACCTTAAAGTTTTGGAAAAGAATTCCTTTGACTCTTGACAATATAAAAAGGTGTGTTCAATTGAATCTGGATTAAGGCAGAAAGGACATTTATCATCCGAGGCTAATTTATATTTCAGTAGTTCTTTCTTTGTCGTGATTATTCTGTGCACAACCTTAAAGGTGAATTGTCTAAGCTTATTATCTTTCGAGGACTTGTATATATTCACAAAACAATCACTCCAATTCGGAATTTCTGAAAAGCTTTTTTTCCAAGCCCTTACTGCGGAGGGTTCTGAAACAATCTTCTCGATGAACAGACTGTAATAATTTTTACAACGGAATTTGGTTAAGACTATTGTTCTATCTTCTAGTTGACAGTACTCTGAAGTTGCTCCAAGCAGATCAGGAACCGTGGAACCAAATGCCTTTCGTTTCAAATCGGGAGGAATGGCAGCAATTAATTGAAAATAGTGCAAATAGTTAGCTTTAATTTCAAATCTATTTTGAAATTCGTCGAAGGTTAGAAATTTACCATCTGAGTTCATTAAATCGCTAATGAAAGTTACACCCCGATCAAACCATTGTTTCCAGAAGACACTATTCTTTTCTATTGTAATTCTCCTGTTATTCCAAAGAATGAGGTCATTGTTTTTATCGTATTCTGAGAATTTCGTTAGTTCTTGGAAATAATCTAATAACTCACGGTAGAATAAAGGTAGATTGTTGTCAGGAGTTGCAGTATTGTAGTTACACTTAAGAAGGAAGGGCAGGCCACCATATTTGTCAAAATAGAAATTCGGTATTGCCTTCCAATTATCATCAGAGTTGCTAATCAGTCTAGCTATCCAGACTAGTCGCAAAGATTTAACCATAATTTCAAAATTTATAAAGTTAAGGCCACCGTTTTCAAGTGGCTGGCATACAATATTTCGCTTAAATTTTATCTTTCTTATTTTTCCACAAAAACGAGAACAGGAGACTTTGAGCGGCGCGTGATACTGCATCAGGGACAGTCATTAGTGAAGCATTGTAGATTAACTGAGAGGCACCAAGTGTTTTGGCTAGAACTGATTTGCCAAAAAGCGTAAGGTCACGCGTTTGCCAGAGATTCAGTTTAGTTTTCATTTTACGAATCTTGCTGAAGAAGTTGGCATCGTTGTTCTTGTCTGCGTTGTACGACAAATGCGCCCCGAGTATTTTAATGGGGTCTTTTAGGCTGTGAAATTCCAATATTTTGTTTTTTTTTATGTTTTGAGGAGCCAATCCACATTGCTTTGCTTTTTTTCTTATTTAGACGTAAACCAAATATGCTGCCGAAACTTCCGATGATCTGTAACGAGAATTTTAGAGAATTGGTGTCTTCAGATATCAGAGTAGTGTCATTGGCAAATTGTGAGATTTTCGATTCTCGCAGATTGGGAAGACGTATGCCTTTACAATTTGGTTCTTGTCGAATTTTCAAGGCACGTAACTCAACGAACAATATGAAGAGGAATGGACTCAGCGGGCACCCTTGACGAACTAGTTCTAAGAAACCGGGGATCAATCATACAAAACGTAATACACCCTTTTAACCTAGACCTTAAACCACTGAAATGTGACCCGCGGTTCAGAATCACGGTTCAGAATGTACAAAATACTTACAGTGCATACTTAAATTTTTTAAAATTATCTGATTAAAATCTAAATCACCATACTGAAACCACGGCCACGCTTGTATATAGCTAATTGGTTCGTCTCCGTTCTGTTAGGAGACTTGGGATTCTTAACCCTCGGACGTACAACCCCCCCCCCCCCCCCCGACGTTTTTTTATTGATTTTTTCTACACGATAAAACATGAGCAGCTGACGTTTTAAGAAGCTGTTCGTTTATAACTCGCGCGCATTTTGAGACAAGTTTAGGGATGGTCAGTTACTATTACATATGACGTCTTAAGTAGAATGTGGTCAAGCCATTTTTGCATGAAAATGCATGTTCTTTCAACTTTTTTCAACAATAAAAGAAAAACCTGTCAATGAAATGATGCAAAGGGCTTATTTAAATGTTATTTTATACGTGAAGTACAGAAAATTATCATTTATCGCGATTTTAACTTGATTTCTAATTCTTGGTGAATCCAAGATGGCGACCGTTGTTGGTGACGTCACAGGCCTCCAGCAGTGCCACCACCCATCTTGTTGAGTAGATCAAAGGCTTTCCACTGAAGTTAAAATCGTTTCGAAATACTGCGAATTATCATGATCAAAAACTCTGGGGAGGGGTTCCATACACCCCTCCCCCTTATACCACGGTTGGGGTATGAATTTGCGTGTACGTCCGAGGGTTAACCCTGTTAAGTTAATTTGAATTATTTGTTTCAGTCATTTGCTTTAAAGCCGAGGGGAAAACACTGAAAAGGAATTATTAAGATTATGAGGATGATGATTATTATTATCATCAATATTACAATGCAATTTTCCTTTGCCAAATTACAATTTGCCGGTTAAGGTAGGTAGGTTACAGGAGAAAAGGGGTAATCATCTGTATTACTATTCAGTCAGTTTCGCGGGAATAACGAAATACTTGTAAACAACGTTAAGTTCTTTCCCCACGAAAATTGTTTGTCTTTTTCCTAAGTTAAAATTGATAAGTGTAGCCGTGGCTAATATAGAGCTCCACAATATACAGTATGCCCTTTGATTTACAACGTTGTTTTTGATGTTATTAATTAGAGAGATTTAGAGTCACGTTTACGGCAAACCATAAATTTGTACCACGTGAATAAGTGTTCCCTTTACTTCTCGAGCTTTCTCGTTTGCTTTTAAATAAATCTGCAAAAAATTGTTAGTTTCAAGTTAGTTTTATCCATAAGAATTGCTTTGAGCTGTTTTCATTTTATCTGCATATTTTCTATTTTGAGGAATTCTCAACTTGAATCTGTAGACGTTTGCCATTTGCCGTTAGCGTGACTATAGATCTCTCTACTTAATATCTTGTTACAAAAAATGACTAAAATGAAAACACGCTTTTTACCAAACGCCCCATTGAGGACAGCTATCAAATAACGCACTTCTTTCTTTGGGGAAATCCAGATATATAAAAGCTACTTCAGCAGTTGTGTTGACATCAAACTTTCAGCGCATCCCTGTAAAGAAAGTAACAATTGATACATTAATTAATCTTTCATTTCAAAACAAAATAAAGGTCAAAGAGTTAAATTTCTGGATGCCATGGATGATGATACGAAAAATAGCAAACTGGAAAACATTTAACACGTTAGACATATCTGTTCGTTTTGAAGCTATGAATTTCTCTACATATAGGGCTAGTCCTGTAGAAAAACGAAGGAAACTTATTCCCTATGTATATCTTTTATCCACACCTGACCTAAACTATTTAACAATTGAGAACATTCAGCAATGCCTAGTGTTTAATTGATTTTTGAAATGCGTTGGTAGCCCGTTAGGAAGAGCATTTACTTGAGTGAATCCATAATAATTTAACACTTACCACCCAACCGAACCTTACTTTGTACATATTTTAATTCTTTTTATTATTCAACTCTGTCATTTTCCTCTTATCTGAATTTGACAAGAATGGTTCTAGCTTTTCTTCTTGAGCCTTTTGTTACTAGAACAGCAAGAAAAAAAATTTCCACTTACGACTTGCTCAATGACTATTTTGCCAATTCAATCTTAACGTCATCGCCCATCAGAACAAAAGGAGCCCAGTACTTTGGAGCAGAATAATTGTGGGAGTCTCGAAGACATTTCATGGCCCTTTGAAGAGCAACACTTGCACTTTCTCCTCTTGCAAGTTGTTGGTAGAAAGATTCCATAAACATCTTTGTGGCTTCGTCATCAATTGCCCAGAGTGTCGCCAGCACGGAACGAGCACCAGCAAACAAGAAAGCACGTGCCATACCGACCACACCCTCAGACGAGACCTCTCCTTGACCACTGTGGCAGCAACTTAGCACAACCAGTCTCGCTCTCAGCTTAACAGCTTGTATGTCAGACATTTTCATAATGCAGTCCTCCTCCTTAGGAGGCTTGGATTCACATCGGGGATCTGGAGCCAAAAAAATTTCTCCAGTTTCCTTTTTTCCGTGGGCTGCAATGTGTACCAAAGCAACTGACCCGATTCTCTGAAGTATCGCTTCTTTGGTTGCATCTTCACCTGTTAAAGGTTGACTCTTTAGAATTTCTCCAATCATCTTTACTTCCATTCTTGCATACTTAAGTGGAGTAAAGGGCTTCTCCCCTTTTCTTTTAACTTTCTCCAAACATGGATCTCCGACAAGTAAGGCTCCACTTTTACTGTGGTGTCCAGATGAAGAATCTGTGATGAGTTTCAAACTTGTTAGTGAGGGAACAGAGCGGATCCTTAAAGTTTCACTCAGGGCTGCCCAAGGAGCTTTAGACAAAGCGCCATCAGGAACTACAATTAGCTCATCACCATCAAGCAAGTCTTCAATGGGACCAATAACTGCATCATATAATGGCTGCAAAGAGTCCGCGGTCTTCTGTGATGGATCCGATGTTTGATCGTCGTCGCCAGTAGTTGAAGTTGAGTCAATTTTTTTCAAAACGGTTTCTAGAAGGAGAACAAAAGGGTCCTCGCGTTCACGTCCAATATCCAGCCTCTTTTGCCTAAAAATAGGGTTGCCTTCTTTTCGTAATACCCACATATTGACTGTTTGCAAATGAATGGCAAGAAAAACTGTTAAAACGGTTGTCTTCCTTGAAATATTTCTGACTTCTTCTTCAGATTCAATTGACCTGGGAGAAAGTGATGTAAGGCCATAAGTTACTTTTAAGGCATCGAGCAAAGCCTGTGCTCGTCCCCTCTCAGCAGCGTATAAAGCCTCATCATTCCTTTCAAGCATTACTAAAACCTGCCATAAATGAGTATAGGCAAATTGATGTTTCGTACGGAAACTCATTTTCAATTCATCTTCCGAGATAGAACTGGCTCTAATAGTGTCACAGATTTTAACACAGCATCTAAAATGTTCTAAAGCCTCATTCAAAGAATATGAAAACAAAAAAGATCGACCCAGACCGCTATGGGCACATGCTTCTCCCTTCCGGTCACCGATTTCCTCGGCAATACTCAGGTGTTGCTTGTAACACTCCATTGCTTCCTTGAAGTCGTGGCGATCTTCATAACAACTTCCGAGGCGGCAATAGGCATTTCCTTGTCCAACCCTGTCACCGATTTCCTCGGCATTGCTCAGGAATTGCTTGTAGTACTCCATTGCTCGTGGCACGTCGCAGAGGGATTTATGAACGTCGCCGATGTTTAAATAGGCATGTCCTTTTCCTCTTCTGTCACCGACTTCATTGGCAATGCTCAGGGCTTTCTTGTGGCACTCCATTGCTTGTGGGAATTCTTCAAGGCGGTCATAAGCAACGCCGAGATTGGAATAGGCTAGGCGTTGCCCTTCCATGTCACCAAATTCCTTGGCAATGATGAGGGATTTATTGGTGTACTCCATTCCTCGTTGGTATCCCCCGAGAAGGCAATAAATAGCGCCGAGATTGGCATAGGCTTGGCCTTGCCCTGCCATGTCACCAACTTCCTTGGCAATGATGAGGCATTTATTGTTGTACTCTATTGCTCTTTGGAATTCACTAAGGCTGCCACAAGCAACACCGAAATTGGCATAGGCTTTGCCTTCCAGTGCCCTGTCACCATCTTCCTTGGCAATGATGAGGCATTTATTGTTGTACTCTATTGCTCTTTGGAATTCATCAAGGTTGTTATAAGCAAGACCGAGACTGTCATAGGCTTTGCCTTCCAATGCCCTGTCACCAACTTCCTTGGCAATGATGAGGCATTTATTGTTGTACTCTATTGCTCTTTGGAATTCATTAAGTCTGTAAGAAGTAGCGCCGAGATTGTAATAGGCTTTGCCTTCCAATGCCCTGTCACCAACTTCCTTGGCAATGATGAGGCATTTATTGTTGTACTCTATTGCTCTTTGGAATTCCTTAAGTCTGTAAGAAGTAGTGCCGAGATTGTAATAGCTGTTGCCTTCCCCTGCCCTGTCACCAACTTCCTTGGCAATGATGAGGTAGTTATTGGTGTCCTCTATTGCTCTTTGGAATTCATTAAGGCTGCCATAAGTAGCGCCGAGATTGTTATAGGCGGTGCCTTGACATACCCTGTCACCAACTTCTTTGGCAATGCTGAGGGTTTGATTGTGGTACTCTATTGCTCGTTGGAATTCTTTAAGGCTGTGATAAGTAGCGCCGAGATTGCCATAGGCACGTCCTTCATCTGCCCTGTCACCAACTTCCTTGGCAATCCTGAGGTGTTGATTGTGGTACTCTATTGCTCGTTGGAATTCTTTAAGGCTGTGATAAGTAGCGCCGAGATTGCCATAGGCACGTCCTTCATCTGCCCTGTCACCAACTTCCTTGGCAATCCTGAGGTGTTGATTGTGGTACTCTATTGCTCGTTGGAATTCTTTAAGGCTGTTATAAGCAAGGCCGAGTTTGAGATAGGCTTCGCCTTGCCCTGCCCTGTCACCAACGTCCTTGGCAATGATGAGGTATTTATTGTAGTACTCTATTGCTCTTTGGAATTCATTAAGGCTGCCATAAGTAGCGCCGAGATTTTTATAGGCTTCGCCTTGCCCTGCCCTGTCACCAACTTCTTTGGCAATGATGAGGTATTTATTGTAGTACTCTATTGCTCTTTGGAATTCTTCAAGGCTGTGATAAGTAGCGCCGAGATTGTTATAGGCTATGCCTTGCCCTGCCCTGTCACCAACTTCCTTGGCAATGATGAGGTATTTATTGGTGTACTCTATTGCTCTTTGGAATTCTTCAAGGCTGTCATAAGTAGCGCCGAGATTGTTATAGGCTATGCCTTGCCCTGCCCTGTCACCAACTTCCGTGGCAATGATAAGGTATTTATTGGTGTACTCTATTGCTCTTTGGAATTCATTAAGGCGTCTATAAGTAAGGCCGAGATTGTTATAGGCAGATCCTTCATCTGCCCTGTCACCAACTTCCTTGGCAATCCTGAGGCCTTGATTGTAGTTCTCTATTGCTCTTTGGAATTCTTTAAGGCTGCCATAAGCACGGCCGAGATTGTAATAGGCTTTGACTTCACATGCCCTGTCACCAACTTCCTTGGCAATCCTGAGGTGTTGATTGTGGTACTCTATTGCTCTTTGGGAGTCACCGAGGGATTGGTAAGCACAGCCGAGTTCGCCATAAACACATCCTGCTGATCCTGCTCTGTCACCGACTTCCTCAGCTATGCTCAGGTATTGCTTGAGGTACTCTATTTCTTGATGGACGTCCTTGAGGAAGCAATAAGCTATGCCTAGATTGTAGTAGGCACGTGCTTTCTCTGCCGTGTTTTTATTGATTTGCGCTGTTGCAAGACGCGTATTTTGTTCAGCTATATATTGTAGTATTCTTTCTGCCATTTCGAAGTTTTAGTATTCAAAGTGGAACTGTTTCTTGGGCGTAATGCTTCTTTAAAGGAGCGTGGAGGTAGAGAAAAAAAAATTCTCATTAATACATTTGAAGTCTTAGAATATGTTTCCATTAGACCGATAAGGTAGCTACGAAATTTCTCTTCGAGTGTTGAAAAATATTTCACGAGTGACGGCAGCGAACGAGTGAAATATCTTCAACACGAGGAGAAAAATTTCGTATCTCCCAGCAGCTATGTAATGTTCTATTTATTATATAAACAATAAAATACAAAACCATTTCAATTAGACATTTTTTTCCTGCCAAAGGCGCGATTTATTATGTAGCCATAGCAACGGTGATCTTTTCACATGTGAAGATAACATGTTATTTTCACATGTGAAGATCATGTTTTCGCGTGAAAGCTCTCCTTGTATTTCATTGGTGTTTATATAATAAAAAGAAATATTCTATCGTTTTTGACCTTATTGTTTAGTTTCATGCTCGTGCAAGGATGGCAAAAGAAACCGCTAAAGGCCCAAAATAAGTAAGTCCAGTTATCTTCGGATTCCTTACATGAGCAGAAAGTGTAGACCTTGTTATCTAAACACCAAAAGGAAAATACTAAGGTTACACGGCTTTCTCACTGTGCAGCCGTGCTTTGATGGTTCTATTATTGGTAGCCACAACACTTTCCCCATCTAGTTTACATGTCGAAATGTTTCAGTCCCAATAGCCCGTGTGTAGGCGTTCTCCCGTTACCAAAAAAAAATTTTTTTTTCTGACAGGAGGGGACGGCAGTAAACAGGTTAAGTGCAGAGAAAAGGGGGCTTGGTCTAATCCTCAAAAATGAGTCCGCTGCCCGGCGACAATAACATTACGTGCAAAATTCAGAGAGACCACAAACTAGAAAACCACTACAAATTTTAAATTGTTTCCCTTACATAGTGCAGAAATAAAAGCGATTTAATTCATAAATCGTAATTTGCCTGAAAACCTTTCTGACAATACAGTTTACATAGTCCCACTGCACATTGAAAAATTTAAAAGGCAGCTGTTTGAGGAAAGATGTCTTGACTAACTAAGTTCATGACCTCAATTTCTTATTGAATCGATGCAAGACTTAGTTTCACAAATTTATATACATCTAGGTCTTTACGTATTTCTTCGTTAGCTATTGTAATAAAAATGAAAATTATTATAAATCTGTGACGTCTACAACATGAGAGATCCACATTTAACACAAATTATCCTGAATATCCGGCGTTGCTTGTGAGAGGAGGGGTAGGGGTGGGGGGGGATGGTTGGAGGCGGGGGAAGGGTGGAAAGGAAATGGAAGAGAGTAGTGGAAAAGGGAGACAACGAAGGGAGAGAAACACAAATCGGTCAAAACAATATTCTAGTCGGACGTTTTGCTTAACATGGAACAAACATACTTAGAAATATCTGTTTAGACAAATTCCAAGTTAAAGGAGATTATTTCTCACCTGAACGATCTGATCTCTATGAAGAAATTTTCGACGGAGTTTTGAAGTGTTCTCCAGTGGTTGGATTTAAATGCAGAGGACTATCAAATATATAGGGTGGCTGATAGAAACAAAAAAACCACAAGACAACAACAACAACTACAAAAATAGGAGAGACCAAACCCAAAACAGAAACACACAAGACAAAATGGGAAACCCAAAACAGAAAAACACTACCAGAAACCAGAAACACAAATCCCCAAACGGAAAAAGGCATCCCAAACCGGAAACACGCATAAAAATACAAAATGAAACGGCAAAACTGAAACAGAATTTAAAAAATACAAACCATAGCCACAAAAGACGAAAACAGAAACAAGTAAATAGCGTAAAGCTATAGTTTCTCATGTTTCATCGTCTTTTTTTAAAACAGGCGTTTTTTAGCGAGAGCATGATTGCAGGCTATTATTATCTAAGAACATCAAACTGTACATCAAACCTGGAGTTAAAATACAGAGATTGACTCTGACTGAACGTCCGTTGCTCGAGATTTAATACGCCCGACATTAGGGAGGCCCATATTAAGGGTTAACCTTCCAGCCTTAAAAATGCAGCAGTTCAGAATAGACTGGGGTCACGGGGCCCTATTGGCTATTTACGCGATGACTTGTTTTTGCTACTAAAGAAATTCATTTCATTTTTCCTTTCATATTTAAATTTGGTAATCCCACTGAGGTTTAAATAACAAAAGCTCTAACTTCCACAAGAAAGCAAAACCCTGAAGGAATCTGGTATAGTAAAATGACGCCATCTTGCAAACGGCCGTTTTTAGAATCCTTCAGAATTTGGCTTTCTCATGCAAATTAAGGCTTCTGAATTTACCGAATTAAATATGAAACAAGTGAAAAAATGAAATGATTCCGGTCATATTTGTAAATTGACACTATCCTGAAAAGACCCGTCCACACAAATCAGGATATTTCTAACAGCGCATTTGTATATATTTTTCACATGAATCGGCCTTCCGTCTGGTATTCCGTCCACGCGAGAAACCAGTGAATCCTCTCACCGAAACGTTAGGCTGATTTAGCAACAGAACGGGAACATCAGTTGGCGACGGAAAAGCTTGCGGAAAGGACTGAACGCGACTTCCGGTGCTCAATTTGCTGCTCTGCCATTGGTCAAGCCAATTGTTTGACTTGTGCGCGTCGTCGTCAACTGACGTTCCCGTTCTGTTGCTAAACAAGAATCGCCGAAAGGAGATTTTTAACTGGGCTGCAAAGAGGCTATTTTTTCTCAGGGAAGGGGGCGGCTATACACACTCAGGCTACCATAAAACCTTGTCGGCAACCATTGCATGCAACAGAATCTCATGTGAGACTGAAACATAAACTCATTCAGAACGTTGTACCCTTTTGAAAGACTTTCGTAACCAAAAAAAAAGAGTACCATTTTTAAGTGGAGGCTGTATAATAACTTTTAAATTCCACCATTATGAATAAAAATAAACAAGTTAGCCATTAATTCTAAACAGGAAACAATTTGCATTATTTCCACGCACCCATCCCCCAATCCCTCTGTGCCCCAAAATATAGCGTTACAGTATAACGTGACTAATTTGACGTAACCGGAAATTCCAAAAATTGTTGTCATTCTACGAGCATAAAATGCGACAGACTGAGGTGATTTACACTAGACAGAAATATTGTATTGTATGAAAACCAGAAGTATACTAAAACAGACAGTTAACTGCCCATTGATCCCGACTGGTCAAGGGGCCTCACTGACTGCACGGAGACTTTACTGCGCTTTTCACAAACATGCGAACTCTAAAGTGCAAAAGCCACCTTCACAATTGTGTTTATCGCTGCCGTCAATCATAATTACGATCACAACCAACGAACCTTGAAACAGAGAAACACACAAAACGGATCGAAGTCCACAAATCACAAACCATGACCTTTTGAACCCGTGAAGTAAAGTTTTGTTTCCTAAGAGGTCCGTTAAGATGATTGACAGCAGCGAAAAACGCAATTTGCGGTCCACAGTCTACATGAAAACGCACTATTTTTTCCACAAGATGAAAAGTATTCAGTTTTAAGATTTTCGTCATGGTATTTTTCTCTAACTTGCACTGAGACCCAAAAAAGTTTAAAGATTTCTCGCTCGCATGTTGCGTTCACCAGCACGCACTTCAAACAATGTAAATAGATGAAACGATCGATAACATATTTTTTACCTGATACCGATGTGAGTTAAAAATTCGCTCCAGTTTTGTTGGTCTCACCCAAGACTAACTTTTCTTCATGGAAGATAACCATGCCGCTTTATAACTCGTCCGAAGTTTTTGTGCCAGCTAAACAATATGGAAACACTATTCACAGTGACTCCTTGGATATTAAAAAGACTGAACGCGACGCACTATTATGCCTTTGTTTACTTCTGATCACATCTTCAAGCGAAGTCTCTCTTTTCAAGTGATTCATCTCAATGCACAATAATTGACCCTTATATTAGATAAAATCCTATGGTTCATTTATATTAATGCTGTTTTTACCCCTCACATTGACTGTGTTCGTTCGTATTCAAAACACCTTTACGAAAATAAAGGTCGTATAAGTCATGTGTGTTATGTTTCGAGATAAATGGATTATACGCTTTTTTAAGTTTCCATTTTGCGGTGACTTCAGTTTACATCTTCATAAAATGGTAAAAGAAATATCAAGAAACATCACGAGAGCTGAAAATTTTCAAAGGCATGTTTCTGAAACTCGCTAATGCCGACATCAATGTAGCGTGCTTGCTGAATGGGCGAAAACACAGAATTGTGATCACAAGATCTTGTACAAATTTAATGACAAAAGCTTAGCAAGATACAGATACAAACAAAAGCAAACCCCCTGAAACCTCGATGTGGGCTACACTTGTATGCTCTACTCAGTCACCAAACCTTGTCAGTAAAAGCTCCTATTTTCCTCAAGTCGCTCTCTGTGAAGCTCCCGGATGGGATGTCCCGGAGAAGCTTTAAACTTGTGTGCGAAATTCTCAGAGTTCCTATTTTTGTCCGTGTCTTCTTTATCCTCAGTATCCGAAATTTAGACCTCCAAAGTGGCGTGTGTTGCATTAAATAAAAGGAAATATTTAAAGGAAAAGCCAGTCTTCTAACATGGCAAAGTTGTCACGTCCCTCGCTTATGGACGTGCGTCACACAGGATTCATCTGCCATTCATCGGCAATTGAGTTGTTCGCTTCACTGACTATGACGGTTTACAATCAAGTCTTAAGCCATAGTGTCGTCAACTGGTGAAATACTTTGCTCATAAATTGTGCTTCTTAATTGCTCATGTACTACATCGATCGATAGTTCACGAAGCGGCCATGGCGTTCCAAACCTGACGCTCACAGTCATCTTTTCAGTCTTTTAGTATGAACCTACCGTGAACGGCGTGTCGGTTTGAATGCAACGCGAGCATTTCTCTGAGTTTCCCAGCGCCAACATCATCTAACTGACTTAAACTCGAACAATAAAAAAATTATAGAGTGAC